TCCATGCACGATCTTGAACCCCCATGACCAAACAAGTGTAGCAGAAAAATGAATTTTTAATTGAACAACCACATAGCCAATCTGCATGATTGTACATATGTGGCGAAAATTTTCGTGTGAAGCTATTCTTATTCTTTGAACTGTTTTGAACCTGGTTGATGTTCATGAAAGGTCTAGGAGGTCCTAATTTTTTCAAATAAATTCTGTGGTCAATATTTTTGATTCCTTCATTGATAATCAGGCTAACTTCGTTAGTGACGTTAGCCGTCGACGACAACGAAATGCCGCCGTCCATTATTATTTAGGCCTACAACCCACGGCAAATTTACCTGTAATATTAAGACTAAGAATAAGTCACTATAACTAAAATTGTCCAAGTCACTTTACCTATGGTTAGTTTACTTAGTTTTAGGGTTAATTAGGTTAGCCTATACTAAAACTACAGACGTAACTTAAGTTATTGATCCAAAAATGCCAACTAACTAACTAACTAACTCAATCAATTAAGAATAATTTATTAAATATAACTATTAATAATTTATACTTAGCTCTTTCAATCTTCAACAAACTACCGCTGCCTTCCTTAGGCATCCATCACTATCACTATCACTAAACACTATTTATCACAAAACAACAGGTCATTTGGCACTAAACTTTAACTGAACTGTGGTCATGGACATGGAAAGAAGTGAGGTTAGTTTGTTTATGGTAGTGTGGATGATGGCTCCAGTGCTGCCAACATAGATCTTCCTATCCTAATCGTGTGTGATGCAGAATTATCCAGTTTAGGGTGGCTGCCCTGATTTATGAATGCGCGCGCAGCTTTGGACTCTGCCCCAGAGTCCCTATTGTAAAGCATTGGAATGACGTCATGTCACCCTCAGCGCTGTTAGGTGTTTCTACCATAAGACTACATGCATTGTGTTTGGGACGGAGGTGGCCGCCGTCCGCAATCCACATTATGAAAGCGACTATCGCAAAACATCCATTACTGGATTCAAAATTTAAAACTATTTCATTTCATATTGTTATCATATTGATTAAAGTACTCGTAAGTAATTGTAACTTAATTTAACTTACGATATATTACTTTTTTATACATACTTATACATACTTTTTATACATACTTTTTTATTACATAAATACAAAAAATATTGATTTCTGAATTGTTGGGAGGGCGGCGTCTGAGAGTCCTTATGGGCTAGCCGCCACTGCTTTACATCATCAGGAGAAAGATTTGAAGCTGTTGGTACTACTTCTGAAGCCCAGAAATTTTGAACAGAACTATGTGAATCAAAATCTGAAATTGTGAGGAGATTCACTGTTGTGTTGGTACTAGGGCGCGTATTGTCAAACTGGACAGGAGCATGACCTAATAAAACATAACCAAAGATGGTGTTAAGAGCAATAGACAATAATCCAAGCCTTGGCTATACTGACAGTGTTTGCTTAATTTCTTCAACCGGGTGAAATATTCTGTGAAGGACTCACTTTCATTCAGGACGCTCTTTCAAATTCCAAACGGGCAGCAAAAATAGTTTGTTTTGGACCATAAAGTGTAAAGAATGCAGTCTTAATTTCATCATATGAATAAGAATCAATGTTCTTCGGGATGAAATAATTTTGCATCTTCTGGAGTGGTTCACTTCCTACATAAGCCAGTAGTAAGTATTTCTCGCTTCCTTACTACGCTCATCTGTACCCCCGGCCCCTTTCATCTGACAATCACGTTGAAAATGTTCAACATACTCTTCCGCTGTTTCTTCACAATTGTATTTCTCAAAGATAAACTTCTCCATTTTCCTTTCCAACTCACTGTGAGACTCTTCATCAACTTCCCTATCACTCTTCTGCTTCCTTCTAGACATCCTCGTTGGCAGTGTAGTATAATCACAAAAAATGAAACAAACTAGTTAAAGAACATTTTAATCTTAATGCCATCTCCACACGAACTCAAATCATCACAACAAAAGCATAAACAAACATAAACCATATGTTTTCAACAAGACAATAAAATAAAGACTATTAAACATGTGATCCAATATCACAGGGGGGAACAATTGCATGGGATGAGGTGTGTGACCAATTATCAAAACATCCTCCCATCCCGACACACTCTATTCACAAGCACTCGGCAAATCACTCATTATGTCATCATTTAGCCACTTCCTCTTGCTCCACTCCTTAGCTAAATTAGTCTTTTTAACCTAAATATACTTATGCTTAGGCTACGTTTACATTCAGACAGTGCATGATTATTCTCTTTTGTTATTTCTCTTTCTCGAGCGAAAGAAGAGTTTCACTCAAAGCAGTGTTTTCCTGCTTAAGGTTATTCAAGGCTACCTGCAGTGATTTAAGGTGGTTTGAGAGAGTTGAAACTTTACTTTCCAATTCATATCTCTCTACTGTCAAAACAAAGACCTTCTGATTTTTCATTTAAATTTACGTTATCACAAAGGAAATTCTCAGTCAGTGAATTTGGTCATTTTAAAGTTTCTAAGTTTAATTTATATTACTGATATTAATAACTATTAAATAAAGTATTTTTTTTATTTATTCAATTTTACTAACTAATCATGAATAGGGAAATTCGCTAAAAATACTGGATAGTGGATATAAAGGGGAGTAAGGGAGATGTCTGGAAAGTGTAGATAGATAGAGGATAGGATTCTATTGGTAGGGGTTCTACAAAACCTGAAACATAAAAAAAGGCATATTGTGTATGTTGTTTTTATCTCATTTTTTGAATTCATATAATTGTATTAGTATGATTATAACAATGATTAGCCTACACTCAGTTGTTGTGCTATTTATATAAACATTGTTCAGACACTTTACTGACAGTGTTATCTCTAGACTCAGCTGCTAGTGTTTGCTCCACTGCAGTAAAGCATGACAGTGCATGTATTGCAGACTTTAGAGAGTGGTGCTCTAGACACTTTACTGAGAATGTTGGCCATAGATTCAGTTGCTAGTGTATGCTCCACTGCAGTAATCTACCTAAGACTGTGTATGTATTGCAGGCTCGAGAGAGTGGTGCTCTAGACACTTTACTGAGAGTGTTGGCCATAGATTCAGCTGCTAGTGTTTGCTCCACTGCAGTAATCAACCTATGACTGTGTATGTATTGCAGGCTCTAGAGAGTGGTGCTCTAGACACTTTACTGAGAGTGTTGGCCATAGATTCAGTTGCTAGTGTTTGCTCCACTGCAGTAATCAACCTAAGACTGTGTATGTATTGCAGGCTCTAGAGAGTGGTGCTCTAGACACTTTACTGAGAGTGTTGGCCATAGATTCAGCTGCTAGTGTTTGCTCCACTGCAGTAATCAACCTAAGACTGTGTATGTATTGCAGGCTCTAGAGAGTGGTGCTCTAGACACTTTACTAAAAGTGTTGGCCATAGATTCAGTTGCTAGTGTTTGCTCCACTGCAGTAATCAACCTAAGACTGTGTATGTATTGCAGGCTCTAGAGAGTGGTGCTCTAGACACTTTACTGAGAATATTGGCCCTAGATTCAGCTGCTAGTGTTTGCTCCACTGCAGTAATCAACCTAAGACTGTGTATGTATTGCAGGCTCTAGAGAGTGGTGCTCTAGATACTTTACTGAGAGTGTTGGCCATAGATTCAGTTGCTAGTGTTTGCTCCACTGCAGTAATCAACCTAAGACTGTCTATGTATTGCAGGCTCGAGAGAGTGGTGCTCTAGACACTTTACTGAGAGTGTTGGCCCTAGATTCAGCTGCTAGTGTTTGCTACGCTGCAGTAATCGTCCTAAGACTATGCATGTATTGCAGACTTTAGAGAGTGGTGCTCTAGACACTTTACTGAGAGTGTTGGGCATAGATTCAGTTGCTAGTGTATGCTCCACTGCAGTAATCGTCCTAAGACTCTGTATGTATTGCAGGCTCTAGAGAGTGGTGCTCTAGACACTTTACTGAGAGTGTTGGCCCTAGACTCAGCTGCTAGTGTTTGCTCCACTGCAGTAATCGTCCTAAGACTATGCATGTATTGCAGACTTTAGAGAGTGGTGCTCTAGACACTTTACTGAGAGTGTTGGGCATAGATTCAGTTGCTAGTGTATGCTCCACTGCAGTAATCAACCTAAGACTGTGTATGTATTGCAGGCTCTAGAGAGTGGTGCTCTAGACACTTTACTGAGAGTGTTGGCCCTAGACTCAGCTGCTAGTGTTTGCTCCACTGCAGTAATCGTCCTAAGACTATGCATGTATTGCAGACTTTAGAGAGTGGTGCTCTAGACACTTTACTGAGAGTGTTGGGCATAGATTCAGTTGCTAGTGTATGCTCCACTGCAGTAATCAACCTAAGACTGTGTATGTATTGCAGGCTCTAGAGAGTGGTGCTCTAGACACTTTACTGAGAGTGTTGGCCCTAGACTCAGCTGCTAGTGTTTGCTCCACTGCAGTAATCGTCCTAAAACTATGCATGTATTGCAGGCTCTAGAGAGTGGTACTCTAGACACTTACCGAGAGTTTTAGCCCTAGACTCAGCTGCTTGTGTTTTCTCCGCTGCAGTAATCATCCTAAGACTATGCATGTATTGCAGGCTCTAGAGAGTGGTGCTCTAGACATTTACCGAGAGTTTTAGCCCTAGACTCAGCTGCTTGTGTTTGCTCCGCTGCAGTAATCAACCTAAGACTGTGTATGTATTGCAGGCTCTAGAGAGTGGTGCTCTAGACACTTACCGAGAGTTTTAGCCCTAGACTCAGCTGCTAGTGTTTGCTCCGCTGCAGTAATCAACCTAAGACTATGTATGTATTACAGGCTCTAGAGAGTGGTGCTCTAGACACATTACTGAGAGTGTTGGCGTTAGACTCAGCTGCTAGTGTTTGCTCCGCTGCAGTAATCAACCTAAGACTATGTATGTATTACAGGCTCTAGAGAGTGGTGCTCTAGACACATTACTGAGAGTGTTGGCCTTAGACTCAGCTGCTAGTGTTTGCTCCGCTGCAGTAATCAACCTAAGACTATGTATGTATTACAGGCTCTAGAGAGTGGTGCTCTAGACACATTACTGAGAGTGTTGGCTTTAGACTCAGCTGCTAGCGTACGCTCCACTGCTGTGTATGCTCTGAGTTGTCTGATCAGACGGTTTCCTCTGGCCCAGAGTCAGTTTGTTGATCTTGGTGGTTTGGCTGTACTTGCCTCTCTTTTTGACGGTGACTCAGGCGAACAGCTCAAATTACAGGTATTTATTTTTATGGTAAAATTAATGATTCAGAGATTTTGCCTAACCTTTTGCTTGGTTTTGAGTTGTCTGGATATCTGACAAATCAGTCGGATACAGTTTATTTTAGATATCACTATTTTTAAAATATCCAATTTTTTCAAATAGACTTTGTATTTTCATGTTTTAGTCTCAAAACAAAATCATTATAATCATCATTAGTTTCCCAGGGATGTTTTAATCTCAAAAGCGAAATCATTATAATCATCATTAGTTTCCCAGGGATGTTTTAATCTCAAAAGCGAAATCATTATAACCATCATTAGTTCCCCAGGACATAATTACACGTCTCCGTAAAAAAAATCAAATCAACAAACAAAAATACTGTAATGACAATAGATATACTACTTCACATTTTATACTACATTTCAAAGGATTCAAAACAAGAGGGTTATTAAAATGCACTATGAGACATATGAAAAGAGTAAGGTTGAGCTAAATACCAACAATCAAAGTAATGCTAAACACCTTTAACCTTCCATTATTATTTTTTTCTCATGTTTTATTTTTGCCTAGCTTAAAATATTCGTGAACTTGAAGACGTAAATGTATACCAAATTCTAGTTTATTACTTGATACCACCGATACTTGGACATTGGTATTGGTATCGAGATCGATTGTCAAAAGTCGATTACAAATCCGATTCCCGACTCGTCTAGGAAGATAATGCAATCGGAAAATTACTGCTATTGACTTGATTGCGCAAGAAGACAGCAATAATTTCTAAACAATCGTGGGGAATGTTCACGATTTTGCCACAATGGCAGGAGATTATAATAATGTCTACATGACTGCGGAAGATGATCGCTATATTACCTAGAGTTTAGCTTGACTGAAAAAATCAGGCTGGCACACCTCTGGTGAAATTAAATTTTATTATTTATGTTTTAGCGAATTTACATATAGGGAAGTAGCTATTACCGTAGGTCTCATGGTAAGACCTAGGCCCAGGACCGATTTACTTTTTCATTTTGATGTCCCCAGAGGCCAAAAACACCATTTGTTCAAATGTTTATATATGTATATATATATATATATTATATATCTATATATATAAAAGGCAAAGCCCTCACTGACTGACTCACTCATCACTAATTCTCCCACTTCCCATTTACCTAGGAGGCTGAAATTTGGTACACTGATTCTTTAGGCATTAAATAGACAAACTAAGTTGTTTTTATTCTGATCGGACTCTCGGGCTCCACCCCAGTGGCTCTGGAGTTTCCCATGTTAACCATATGAGTACTCATATTTAAATAGAATTAATGAATCTTAACAACAGCTGTTTCAATTAAACAAGTTGGTTCTGTTCTATGATGTTCAATAGCGTTTAAGTTACAAGGATTACCAACAGGGTGCAGCACTATTATTTCTTTTACATTTATGACAACAGCTAATTTGCAACCAAAAGGTGCTACACACCATAAAGCTTTCTATAGACTTTCATTAACTTAGGCCTACAAAATTCCTTTGGCTAATAAGTTAGCCCACATTGAACCCAAAGTCATTTGTTTCCTAATAAAGATAATTCCTAATTTATGTTTTATTTCTGTCTAATGAGGTAAGTCTTTATCTTAATCTTATAATAGGCCTATATGAATTATTGAATAAAGAGATTTGGTATGTTACAATATAAAATTTATTAATGAAATACAACATAAGTTATTGGTTGAATTAGCTACAGGGTAAGTTAACAATGGTAAATTTTCAAAATGGTGGGGTTTCCAAAGTGGATGATATTATTCTAGGCTTATATTGGGTTGGTTTCTTCTGAAGTACTAATTAATATTTAAATAGGCTATGAGCTCTTAATCTCAGGGAGGGGTGGTCGTGCCGGTTCGAATGATATATTAGGCTTCTTTAAAATGCAAATAATTTAATTTAGTTATTGTTCTGAAATAAGTTAAGCTAGGTTCATGATGCTATTAATATAGGTAATAATGTTAATGTCCAAAGAAAGATTCCAAATGGTTTCACTGAATTTAATGAAATAAAATAGAATTTGAAGATTAAATTTTGAATAAAAGTTCAATTTGAAATATATATATATCTTGATGAGTTGAGTTAATTGGGCCTAGTAGGCTATACTGATTAAATGTCCAATGAAGATTAAATTTGTCCTTAGTTAAATAAGATGGATGATGGTTACCAAATTTGGAGTGTCTGTCTTCTTATAAATTAGTACTCTTCAATGCACTTGTCCAATACTTTTGGATGATGAGAAATTTAAATTTTCTCTTAATTTGTCTCTTAATTTCTCTTAATTGTCACTAAAGATGTTATTACTATATTGCAATTTTCTTACAATTGTATATTATTCTAAATAAATGATTATTGTTGGTTTTTGATGAGTACTTAATAGGTATGGAGAGAATTTGCATAAATATTATATTGTAACACAAAATAGGATGATGTTTCTGTGGGGTGATGGGATACTATATAACATTGAACAAAATTGGATAAAATAACACATTAACAAGGGGAACAAATTAAATAACTGATAACACATTATCAGGGGCATTAACAGACATTGTGAGAGAAAATATACAAAATAAAAGAGAAATTAATGTTAATGATGAATGAATGACATGTAATATTACAAAGGTGAGTGAGCGCAGCGAACGAACTTCAACCTGGAGGCGAGTTAGCGTAGCGAACGAGCTAACCAGAAGGCAAGTGAGCGCAGTGAACGAGCTCCCACTTAAAAGTGAGTGAGCGTAGCGAACGAACTTCAACCAGGACGTGATTGAGCCATGCGAACGAGCTCACTTATAATGTTAAACGGGGCAAAGCCCGCGGGTACAGCTAGTCTATATATAAAAGGCAAAGCCCTCACTGACTGACTCACTCACTCACTCACTCACTCATCACTAATTCTCCCACTTCCCATTTACCTAGGAGGCTGAAATTCGGTACACCGATTCTTTGGGCATTAAATAGGAAAACTAAGTAGTTTTTATTCTGATCGGGCTTTCGGGCTCCGCCCCAGTGGCTCTAGAGTTTCCCATGTAACCTTATGATTTTTCATATTTAAAAGGAATTTCTTAACAGCTGTTTCAATTAAACAAGTTGGTTCTGTTCTATGATGTTCAATAGCATTAAAGTAACAAGTATTACCAACAGGGTGCAGCACTATTATTTTTTTAAATTTTTGACTACAGCCAATTTGCAACCAAAAGGTGAGTGAGCGTAGCGAACGAACTTCAACCTGGAAGCGAGTTAGCATAGCGAACGAGCTCCAACCTAAAGGTGAGTGAGCATAGCGAACAAACTTCAACCAGGACGTGATTGAGCCATGCGAACGAGCTCACTTGTGAAGTTAAACGGGGCAAAGCCCGCGGGTACAGCTAGTATATCTATATAGAGATAGGCCCCCTTTTTTCGTTGGGGGATTGTTAGAAATTACCTCGGAAAAAATCTGTTATTGAGTAATATAATACAATAATAAGAAGTTAGTAAAATGCAATGCACTGTATTCTAATGTAACTGAATTGTTTTTGGTACAAAATAAATATTAGGGGAGGGGGGTTGATCTGGTGAGGGGGTTAAATTATATACACTTTTCCTAAATTGTTCTTTGGTTTTCAAACAAAGCCTAGTAACTGTGAAAGATGTCAAGTCCATTGCCAAAATCAAAGACAGTGGTTCATGAACTGTTGGGGGATGGGGGTGGGTTAAATTATTTGTTGAGGGGGGTACGTATAAAAAAATGCTAAATTCCTTTAATATATGGATTTATTAAATAGGGGGTTTTGAGTTATAGAAGTTGAAAAGAACGTGTTAGCCTATGTCATTTTCAAATGTCCATCATTTTGTTTTTTTTTTATTTTTTTTTTTTTGTGGGGGGGTCAATAATGTCTTTTAGACATTTCCTTGATAATTTAAGGCCACGTTGTACTTAATTGTAAAATTTAATGTCTCTAGTACGTTTCTGATCCGATTTTGATCCGTATACCAAAGTCAGCATAAGAATAAAATGATTCGATGTTTCGGGGGGGGGGGGGGGGGGTTATCATTGTAAAATGTCACTTTTCGACAAGGGCACAACAACCACAGCTTACCAAATTGCAGATCTCCAGCTAATCTAGAAGTGGGTAAACGTGATTTAGACTGATTAATCTGTGGTTGCTATAGGATAGATATAAGGGGGGAAATCGATTTTGGAGGGGGGGAATTTTTTAATGGTCCTTTTTATATTAATACCTTGGTGTTAGATCTAATACAATAAACTGTGTATAGTTTCAATACTCTTGCGCTCATAGAATAGGTAAAGAATCTGTTATAACCTTGTAAAAGTAGTAAAATATATCAAATATTGACATTAAATTTAAATTTTGGGGGTCAAGGAGTAAAGTTACGCAAACATGTGTACTGACTAAAATTTAAAGTAAACTAAGGAGAATACGAAGCATTAATAATATCATTAAAAAAAATTACTTTGGTAGGGAAAAAAAAAAGCAAATACTGGTAAAAATTTGAAATATATTTTAAAAAATTTGAAAGTAGGGCGTTTTTAGGGTCAAAGGGGTGAAATTTTTGGAAAAACCAGAAAGGGTTTTGTAGAAAATTGAATTCCTGACCGTGAACATTCATTCAAATCTTGGCTAGCTCTTATTGTTTTTTAGTTATAGCCATTAAAAGAACGTGTTTTGACGTTTTTAGATGTCCGCCTTTTTGGATTTTTGGGGGGGTTAAAATTTGAAAATGGGACTTTTGCAAATTTCCCCATTAACTTAGGATCCCATACTACAATACTCAATTACCACCGAATTTCAAGTCTCTAGCTCGTTTCTAAACAATTCAGATGACCAAACCAAAGTCATAAAATGTCAACGTTATTCTCCATAAGAATAAGATGGGGATCGTAAAAACTTTAAAATGTTGACATTAAACCTTAGTTTTGCCCAAGGAGTAAAGTTACAAAAAAACATGTAAAGAGTAAAATTCAAAGTAAACTAAGG